GAAGAAGAAGAAGGAGAAGAAGAAAAAAATTTAAAGGAGCAGGTAATTTAATGATGAATAATCATCAAAACTGTTATATAAATAATTGATGAGTATCAGCTATTGTTTGCAGTTATCATCTGGTGCTTTATTTCTGATCTGTACTATCAGAGTTATTGGATACTGTTACTAAAATACCGTGAAACAAAAGCGATAAGATTATAGCTTAGATGGGTTGGTTATTTGAAATTAGTTTTGAAAATTAGTCTTTTGCACTTAATCCCTTGTTCGTTGATATGACGATGATTTCTCTGATGATGATGATGATGATGATATTGGTTCTGCTGCTACTGCTGCAGCTTTGCTGTTGTGGTTGTCGGTTGATGACGGTGGTGAGGATACAAATAAACTGGTGAAAATTTTTTTTTTATTTCATTTTTCGTTGCTGTCGTTGTTTTTGTTATTGTTAAAGAGAAGAATTTTTCTTTTTTCTGCTGCTGTCGTTGTCTTAAAACAATCCGGTAATATCAAATATCCATATGGATTTCAAAAAAAAAGTATATATGTATTTATGTAATCAGTTTTTATCGATTACTTTTACCTACTTCTTTCTATTCATCAGTTTTCTATTTGAGCACCAATGAAATAGATGCTTCTGTGTCTGCATTTACGTACATAACACTGACTGATCGCTATTAGCCGCATATTCATACGTTTCGATGCATGGATACTAATAGAAACTGGGAGTATTTAGTTTGTTTGACTATGTATATATAAACTATGGTCGATTGTGGATATTCGATTAGATTTGTATAAAACTGGTTGCTTTAGTAATATTGGAATCCTTCTACAGACATGTTTATGTAGTTTTTTCTCTCTCTTTTATATAAATGGTATATAATTTTAAGCGTCAAAGAAAGTGTAATTTTTTTTTTTGAAATAGATTGAAACCATAAAAGGAATGAAGACGATAGTGTGAAGAAGGAAAGAAGGCTGCAGAAAGGTGGACTGGGTTGGGGAAGGGGTGGGGGGGGAGGGGGGGTTGGGGACAAGACTAAACAGATTTGTGACTGTGTCTTAACAGTGTTCATTGGAATCAAATCAATGATTTTAATTTAATGTATATAAAAAAGATTTTTTTTTTTCATTTTCATGTATTAATTTTTGATTTTTTTAACGTCGCTGATGATGTAAAAAAAAAATTTATTTATTTTTTTTTTT